TGAAACAAAATTTGAAGTAAAACATTAACTCTTCTTTATTTTAGGGGAAGGGGCATGTGGGAATTTGCTTCATTACTTTTCTGTGTTTTAAATGTTAAGAAAAGAGAGCCTCCCCCTATTCAAAAAAGTCTGCTTGCTCACGATCCCCTATAGTTCATCCAGATTTTTTTTTCCCCATCTTTCTTGTGGAACGGTAAGTTCACAGTTTTTCTAGAAGTTTAGAATACAGCCTTCCTTACCTCTCAGTCAATCCTCACCTGTCTGTACCTTGACTTTTTCCCAGGTAACCAGTAAGCCCTCAATTGCCATATCCATTGGTGTTGTCCATTTTTCTCAGAGCCCTCAGGTATGAGGGACTGTCAGCTATCCCATCTTTCTGCACTCCTGGCTCACTCTGTACCTCTCCAGCCATTTTCCCTTCTATTTCCTTCTGGTCTCTGCTCCCTTTGCTCAGCAAAAACTAAAGTGTTCCCCAGGAGCCCTTCACATGAGCACTCCTCAAGCCCCAGGTCATCTGTCACTCTTCCTGGCAGAGGTTCCCAAACATGGCAGCCTTTGTCAGCAATTTTTCCATCACATCCCAGACCAAAAGAAAAACCTAACAGCACTGTTTATTAAGTCTTTAGGACCTAACAACTTATGTTATGTCTTAACAACTTAGTAGCCATTTTAAAATATAATACCAACAAAATAAAAAAAACTTTTAAATATAATTTTTAAATAACCACCATTACTTACTAATGGGATATGGAATCACAGACCTTGGAATCACATCAGACATCAGCCCTCTCATTTCCTGTTCCATCTTAATTTTCATGAGTTATTTGATTCTTATCACATTAATTGCCAAAAATCTGGCTTTACAAAGATATAATGTCATAGAAAGGAATGTAATAGAGTCTAATGTTGGAATTGTGAACTACTCTAGCAAGTCGTTTCATAGTGTCCAACAGATGATATATTACTGTTTCTCTCCAAAATTTAAAATACTCCACTGTGCCCCTGTTAATTTGCTATTGCACCCCAGGGTACCCTAACACAATTTGGGAACCATGGGTCTAAGCTCTTGTCTTTAATTGGATTTGATTTTCTCTTTCTTCTCAGCCTCTGGGCTCAGCTCAAATGCCATGTCTTCCATGAAGCTTCTGGGCCAAAAACGAAACACATTTGAACAAAACTATTTCCCCAGTTAGAATGAAAACTCCTTCCTCTAGGATCCCACAAAAATTTAGTTTGTAAAAGGCATGAATTTTTCTCTGATACTCTACGCGTAAAACATGTCATACTTCTTTATTTTTCTAAATTGAATAAAACCAGCTTTAAGCCCCCATTGTCTGAGGTCACTGAGACTTCTAATATCTGGCATTTTGGGGTGGCTCCCTCCTTGTTCTTGGGCATGTCCCAGGACTATGGGGCTTTCAGAGTCCCTGAAAAACTGAGCTGCCCACATCAGCTGTTCTCAGAGGCTTCTACCGCAGTGCTCACCGATCCACTTAAAATTGGCTGGTTCTAGTCTGCCACCCCAGAGCCAGGCTGGGCAGAGGGAGTCTCTCCTGGCTTTCCAGGCTAAGCCAGAGGCCCTAGTTCTTGGTCCCCAGGCATTCACACCTCTACTACTGTCCAAAGCTCTGGCTACTAGGGGACTCTATGTGAGTGAGGTGGAAGTCAGTGCCTCTCTGGTAACCTGCTGCTTGGGGAAATCCAATCTCTTCCTTTGGGAAGAGGTATTAGACTCCTACGGTTTGCACACAGGTAGCCTGGGGGATGGATGTGACCCATGAATGTGTTTTGTCTGTTCAGTGTGGGGTTATTAAAATTTTTTTTTAATCTACTGGAACCTTTAAACATGGAAAATGTCACAGAATTTCTACAATCAAGACCTTTAGTTGCTACATGGAAACCACTGATAGCAGCAGGGTAAGCACTGCCCCCTGTGAGCAAGGCATGTGCTTTGCAGTTGGCCACATCTGTGGTGTCACTCCCCTCTGCCTGGCCCCTACAAACCTTTGAGCTTGAGATCCCAGCCTAGGCTTTTGAAAACAAAGCCTTTTGATAATGTAGTCTAACATCAAACCCAAAGAAACTGTTAACTCACTCTTGGAGAGGAGGATGTACCAAACTCAAACATTCCCGTCCAGCTGCTCTTTGTAGGAAGGTGGGGTGGCAGAGGTGGCTGCAGCGAAGACAATTATTTTTTCATTTTCTGTCAATAAATCCACAGCAGCAAAAAAGGTAAGACACCAAATAACTGTATTTACAGCCTCATGTCATGTCATTTTTAACGATATTAATAGCTAACTTTCGTTGGGGGCCTTACTAAGTTCTCAGTATTAGAGAAAGAAACTAACAAGGTATTATCTCATTGAATTCTTCAGAAAATGCCTTTAAAAGAATGTAGCAAAATCTAAAGGTCCAGCAGCCAAGAGAAGTGGGGTGAAGATGAACATGGAAAAATGCAGCTGATGATGCTGCTTATAAGCAAAAGAGAGGACGTGCAAGCCAGAAACTGTCGGGGAAGAGGCCCAGACGCTGGACTCAGGGCTCTCCAAGAGGCCCTGGGTGTGTTGGGGACCCAAAACAGTGGGTCCCCGGCATCAATGGGTCTGGTAGAGGCAACCGCACCCAGTTGCTCCTGCCTCGTCCTGGTCTGCCCCACTGCCTATTCTGGCTGGTTTTCTTCTCTCTCCCCACTCTCGGTCCCTTCAGGCTGCTCCCTGTCTCTCTGGCCTTACCCCTGCTTCTCCCCGCTGGTCTCTGCATCCGTTTCTCCACCTGCGCGGTTCCTAACGCAGTGGCCAAGCAGTCACGTGACCGGTGCGTGAATCGTAGGAGTCTTCCTACCCCCAGTGCGCCACAGTCTGCAGGCCGCGCATGCGCAGTACCAGGAGCACCTGCGCACCAGGCGGGCGGGGCGGTAGACCAGCCTAGAGCATCCTGCGGCCACAGCCCCGCCCCGCCCTCAGGCTGGGCGGAGCGTCGGAAGGTGGACCCGCTAGGGTCTAGACTCCCAAGGGATTCTGGTCCTCGTTGTTGATACGCTCCCAGAAAGCTGTTCACACAGCTAAGCCTCTCCTTAGGTCAGGGCACTGCGGCTGCGTCTTGGCGGTGGACGTTCTCCTCTGGGTACCAGGAAATCGGAGCGTGAGACTGGGGTCTGCCCTTAGAGCCGTGTGACCTTGGGCAAGTAACTTGACTTCTCTGCGTCCTAGGAAAATGGAGTAATAATAGCACCGACCTCGTGGGGCTGTAGTGAGAATTCAATGAAAATTCATGAGAGCTCTTTGCGCGGTCTGGCCTTTATCAAACGTATATGCAAATAAAGAATACAGAGCAGAGGGTAGTACTGTGTGATGACTGAGGGAGAATTTTACCCTGTCGTTTAGGTTACCTGCTGGCTCCTGTGAGCGAAGCCCAGAAGCTTTATTGTCTCTGTTTCCCAGATGAAGAACCAAGGCTCAGAGATGTCAGCTCTGGAACCAGGGCTTGGATTCTCCATGCAGGGAGATTCCAATTTGCCACTTCAGAGTCAGGAGTTCTGGAGTGAGTTCACAGTCTGTCACCCCGCTAGCTCTTTCAATCACCCTATTTAAAATAACATCCGTTCTGACTTTTGCCACTCCTAGTAAACATCTCAGGTACACATCTGCAGGAAAAGATTTCTTTTTTTTGTTGTTCTTCTTTCTGCAAAAAAATAAGGAGCTGCTGTATTTTATTTGTTATGACCTTTGAGGAGGTCTCATGCAGATTCCAGGTCACCCAATAGTCCTAGAATCCCGCAGTGAGGCCTACCCCTGGGGGCAGTCCTTTCCACCCTACCCCTCAGACTCCCCTTTAGCCAAACCGGCCCTCTCTTTGTTCCTGAAAAAGCCAAAGTCCTTTGTGGCACTTGGTCTTTGTACCTTTTGTATGTCTGCATTGGACACTCCCCCCTCGTGCTACCTTTTACTCATCTCAGGAAGCCCGCCCTGACTGCATCAGCCCCATACTCCAACCGGTCAGGTGCCTTGTTATTCACTCTCACAGCCCCCTGTCCTTCTGCTTCAGCACTAATTAGAACAGTAACTCAGTGCTGCATGTGACTTCTTGATTTCTGTCTGTCTCCTCAGCTGGAATCTGGTTTCCTTGAGGGTGGTCTCTGCTGATACCTGCCAGCTGGCTAAGGAGGGAATATGTGGGATCACAAGTGCATCCTAGGTCCTCTCACACTTACAAAGCATCTCCTCCTTTTCCGAATGCACCGGAGGCTATCAATACCTTCCCAGGGTAAAAAGCTGAGCCCAGACATGAAGAGATGACAGAAGAACACTTTCTCTGTGAAGCCATGTGAAGGTTCTGTTGGAGTAGTTTGGGGTAGGGGTGAGGAGATGGCTGAACCAGGACATGTGGCCTCTTGTCCTGGCTCAGCCATTGGTCACTGCATGACCTTGGGAAAGTTCTCCTTTAGGCCTCAGCTTCTTTAGTTGTGGCTCGGTATAAAATAATGGTGCAGAATTCAGATTCTAGAATTGGATCTTTCCTTTGTCATTAGCAATGCACTTATCTTCTCGGAATCTATTTCCTCATCTGTAAAATATTATATTTCTTAATACTATTAAGAGAAGGACCTAGCTCACAAAGCTGTTCCAAAAAACTTAATGAGTATTCATTGATTTTACAACTACTAGCTCTCTGTCCTTTTTGATTTTTAATGGGCTCTACTTATTTGTTTTTCTTTGAAGCCAGAGGTGAGCCCTGTCCTATATTTCAAAAGTAATCTCCCCCATCAACAAAGAAATTTCAGCGAAAACTGACCTGGGACCACTTTGATAAATGTGAACCCTGGGAAGGAGATGCTGAGACCAGAGGCGTATTCTTATCAGATTTGGGACTTAGAAATTTCTAGACTTTGAGCGCCCAAAGACTAGGATCTGAATCTGCCTTGTACATGGCTGTAGCTTCAATGCCCAGAATAGTGGCTTACATACAATGGTGAGAGAACAATAAATATTTGCTAATGAATGATACACAGCCTGAGAGCAAGTCAGGTGCTCAATTCTTATTGATTGATTGATTGATTGATTGATTTAGGTGAGGCAACTCTTGGTTGACCTCACAAATTGCAAGGACTTTGTCATCTTACAATCACTTATTTTTTTTATGCCTACAGCACCTGGTCTTCCTAGGTGGTCTCCCATCCAAGTACTAACCAGGTCTGACCCTGCTTAGCTTCCGAGATTAGATGGGATCGGGCTTGTTCAGGGTGGCATGGCCATAGATAGGTGCTCAATTCTTTGAGTCTTTTTTTTAATCTGAAAATGAAGATTTAAAAAATGCCCAATTATTGTGAGGATTTAATGAGGTGATGCATAGAGTTTGACACATAACCGTTCAGTGAATGGGAGATTTATAGATATAGGTACCCAGAGAGATAGAGATGTTGTGACTGGGAGTGGGTACTACTAATAACAGATCTAGCCTTCGAGTCCTTTTTTGAGGCGAGAGAAAAAATGGAAGGCTCCCAGAAAGGAAAGACAGGACCATAGCTGGGTTTCAGGACGATGGAGAGTGTCAGTAGCCTGTGGCCAAGGATTCAGGTGCGAAGGCAGCAGAAGGGTCTTTAGGACCCTGCACTTGGGGAGCGCGCGGTTGCCGGGGGCGCGCGGCGCGTGAGGTGAGGGGGAGAGCGCGGCTCTGGCACCAGCCAGAAGTCGCCTC